GGGGGGGGACAGGGGCTGGGGATGGTGCTCGGCACCCCACAAGGTCCTGAATATTACTGACCCCGACAAGGAGGACACGGAACACTGACACCTGCTAGAACAGGCCAAGCTGGGAAACACCCCACAGGCCGCGCTGGGGTCCTAGGAAACCTCCAGAACGGGCAGGGATGCAGCCTGGGGCTGTCAGGAGCTGCAGGAGGGGACGGGAAGTGACAGGAAGTGGGGCAGGGTCTCCTGAGCGGGAAGTTAGTGGGCACAACACGGAGTGTGCTCGCTGCCTCTGCAGCGTAGACCTAGAAATGGTTCATTCGTGTCCACCTCAGTTTACAGACAGGGTGACCGCAGCCTGGTGTGACCTGGAACAGGGAGGGCGGAGGGATGGCTGCTGCCCACTCATCGCTGTGGGGTGTGGGGCTCCGGGGGATGCTTCACTTCACGTCTGCAAAGCAGGACGAGCCGGCCAGGGACAGGGGCCAGCAAGACAGTAGGGGAGAGCTGAGGGGCAGGGACGAGACCTGGGCCCTGGAACCCGTGCTGCCACCTCTGGGCTGGCACCACCTGTCACTGTGGCCACCTCTGCAGTGGGATGCCAGGACCCACAGTGAGGCCCCGACCGTGCTGTGGGAGCGGCAGCTGGCTGCCCCCAGGACCTCCCAAGCCCCCGGGTTCCCACCTGTGCACCTCCATTTCCAGACCAGGACCCAGGGTTTCCACAGGTCACCCAGTGGCTCCCAAATGTAAGGCAGAGAGCCTGGGTTCCCTCCCAGGCCTCAGCCAGGGATCCGTAGTCAAGCAAATGGGCCAAACCTGCAGGGACCTGGTACAGGGCGTCCCTCCACCTGCGCAGACCTCAGGGCCAGCACCTGTGGACCTCCCAGGGCCAGGGCTGGAGCAAACGCGATGGATCTGCCTGTGGCCTGCTTCATTTCAGCTTGTACCCAGCACAGTCAACATGAGCCCAAAGAACACAGTTTTCAAACAGCTCAGAATCGTGTTGAGCACCCGGCATAAGTGCTGTATGTCTTTGTCCTTGGTGCTGTGCAACCCAATGGCTTTCCCTCCCTGAGCCTCCATCAGCTCCCCTGATAAAAGGAGCTGCTTTAGGGGCTGAGTACAGGTCACTGGTAAGAGCCAGCGCTGTTCCACCCGCCCCTCAGGTCGCCTCCAAAGCTGAAAGGCGTCCTCAGCTCCTTTTCACAGCGAGGACAGAGCTTGGGCCGCTTGCTGCAAAGCGCTCTCTGCACAGCCCTGGAGGGGGAACTCGAATTCGCTCCACCGCTCCAGAGCATGCGCAGGTTAGCAGCAGGAGGCTCTTCTTGTTAGGGACATTGCTCAGAAGTTGAAGACAATGATACAGTCAAACGGGACTTTCACAGGGGACAAGGAGGGTGGGCGCTGGCCTGGACCCTCCTGCGGGGAGCCAGCGGGACCCAGGACGGCCCTGAGCAGAGCCCCAGCTGGTCTGCAGCCAGGGCCCAGCTGATGGGGGTGCACAGAGGGGAGCACACAGTCCCCCAAAGGCTCCTAATTGCCCAGGGTCAGTGGGTCACCCAGATAATCCTCTGGGCCACATGGGAGGGGGAGGGGGTCTCTGCCACGGCCAGGGAAGCTTCCGGAACTCCCCGGACCCCGTCAAGTCCAATTAGCCAGTGAGGCGGGAACGTGGGCCGGGGCCAGCGGGGCTCCTGGGCAGGAGAAGGGCCAGGCCCAGGCCCAGCTCCCTCATGGAAGGAGGCCACAGGCAGGGGTCACGTGGGGGACGGGAGGGGGGACGCTGGCTTTTGGTCCGTGGGGTGCTTCTGTTAGCTGCAGGGCCTGGGGTCCTGCTGCTGCCTGGGTGATCTAAATTCTGCTCAAGGAGGACAGAGTGCGGGACCGACCCTGTAGGAGGGCCCAGAGTTGTCACACTGTAAATAGAGACAGAAAGTGGAGTGAGGTCCGCAGGGCTGGGCAGAGGGGCCCGGGCAGCGTTGCTTCAGTGAGCCCTGATGGGCTGCGGGGGCATTTGGGGGGCGTGGGGATGGTGGGGGCTTCACAGTAGCTCAGTACAGCCCTGCGCCTGGCACAGCCCACTGCACTTACACGTGCTGAAGCGGAAAACCTCGCATCTGTTCTACCCCCAGCAATGAAAATCACCTGCACCGGGTTTGCAGCCAGCACTTGGCCGTTCAGGAAACTGACTCAGGAGGGTGAGCGGGGGCATTGTTGGTGGCCAGGTGTTTGAAGATTTGGGAAGACATGCTTACGTCGGTGTCAATGCTTAGTAAACAACATAGAACCAAGAAAGCCCCATCCAGGGACAGAAAGGAGCTAGAACCTCTCTCTGTTCCAAAGGGATTCCGACCTTGACGACACAGTTGACACGGCGGTCCCCCATCATGGTTCTGGAGACCAGAGGTCCCCCACCAAGGTGTGTGCAGGGCCACGCTCCTCCAGAGGCTCTAGGGCTGGTCCTTCCTGTGCCGTCCCAGTGTCTAGGGACTCCTGGTGTTCCCCCGCTGTGCTCTCCCGCGGAGAACTTTTTTTTTTTTTTTTTTGTGGATCTTCCCAGGTCAGAAATTTCCTTCTGCTTTTCTCTTATCAGGAAACTGTCAGTGGATGTTTCTAAATTGAGACCTTCTATCCGTGCATCTTTATGGGGTACATTATGGTACCCCAAAGCATGTATCCCATGTGTGATCATCAAGTTAGAGGCATAAGCACCTCCATCTCTCTTGGACCATTAAGTGATTTTTGTGTGTTGGAAACCTGGACTCTTCCTTCCTGGACGTTTTGAATGTATCATAGATTATTTAACCAGTCCTTACCCTACTGAGCTGCAGAAAAACCAGGACTAACCCTCTTCTCTGGGCCGGGTAGCCCCTGTCCAACTTCGTCCTGTTCCCTTCCCTTCCTGAGGTCTAGGGGGCGCTGTTCCACCGTGTTCTTCCATGAGATCAACTTTTGATTGGTCACGTAGGAGGGAGAACTGTCGTGTTTGTCTTCCTGCGTTGGTCCTATTTAGCTTAACATAATGACCTCAGTTCCATCCATGTTGGGATTTCCATTTTTTTGTGGCTGAATAATGTCCCCTCGTACACATACATAAGCCACATTTTCTTTATCCTTTCATGCACCCACGGACATCCGGGTGGATACTGTATTTTAGCTGTTGTAAATAGAGCTGTAATAAACACAGGGGTGCAAAGACCCTTTCAGTATGAATATTTCATCTCCTTCAGATACACATCCAGTGGTGGAATTGGTGGATCATGCGGTTGTTGTATTTTTGATTTTTGAAGACTCTCCACACTGTTTCCCGTGGCGGCTGTACTAATAGACACTCCCACCCCCAGGGAATAAGAATCCTCCTTCCTCGTATCCTGGCCAGCCCTTGTTGGCGCCTGTCTCTGAGGTGATAGCCATTCTAACTGGTGAGAGGATCCCTCTCTGGTTCTGATCTTCATTTCCCTGGTGATGATGAATGTGTGTCATTGGATCTGGGACCTACCCAAATAGAATGAGCTCATCTTGAGATCCTTCTCTTATTATATCTGCAAAATCTTTTTCTGACTAGGCAAGGTGGGGCATACCTGCAATCCCGGGTATTCAGGAGGCTGAGGCAGGAGGATTGCAAGTTTGAGGCCAGTCTCAGCAACTTGGCAAGACCCTGTTTCGAAATTTAAAAAAAAAAAAATTTTTTTTTTTTGAGGGACTGGGGAAGTATCTCAGTACTAGAGCCCCCTGGGGTAGATCGTCAATACCACCAACAAGTAAACATGAACCCCCCTCATCATTCACCCCCCTACCGCCCCCAGCACGCTCCACGGACAGGATGGGGCATCAGACCCGAGCCTTATCAGTTCTTTGGGCAAAGTCTGTTCCTTTATCTCCCTTCCTGTGCTGGCCCAGTCCACCCAGCTGTCTCATGACAGTTCTCTTTGAAGACAAAAACCCCAGCATTGAAACCGCTATATACCCAACGCTTGCCAGTTCAACATCAAAGTCAGACTGAGCAGACCAGTGCAGGCAGTGGGCCGAGCTGAGAGGTCCTGGAGAGGATCGGGGCTCGTGCTCCACCCTGGGGAGGCCCCTGCCGCTCTTATAGAGGCCAGGGTCTTGTGCCACCATCTGTTTTGAAGTCTCACCTGCTACCCTTGGGTATTCAGGAAGATTCTCTTCTCTGTTTCTCAAAAAGTTAAACCCAGAATCACACACGGTCCAGCGATCCGACCCCTAAGTATAGACCTGAGTGGATCGAATTCAAGAGCGTTCTTAGCCACACTCTCTCAGTAGCTGAAAGACAGACGTGCTCCAAACGTCCGTGACACAACCGGGTCCGTCCGTCATGGAATGGTATTCTGCCATCA